GCCGTTCCGGCCTGCAGCACCGGCCCGCACAGCCGCGTCCGGGCAGGGCCTGGCCGGAGCCGCAGGGAGCCGGTGCCAGGACATGGCGGATGCAGCCCCAGCCCCATCTCGCCCTGGCACTGCTGGCACGGGGCAGCTGAGCGAGCTGCATCCTCAGCGCCAAAACACCCTCCCGCCACGCCGCCCTTCCCAATGGGATGTGCCCTTCCCGATGGGATAAGTGCCTCTGCCCTGGCCCCACTTCCAGCCTGGCCCCCTGCCCACTGTGGAGCCCCTGGAGCACCGGGGACACCGGCTGTGCTTGGGCAATATTCAGGTGCTCCTGGTGGTGGTGGCACCCGGGGAAGCCGTCCCCAAGCAGGGCAGGGATGGGACCAGGTCACCAGCCCCTACAATCATTAGGTTAATGGGTGCTAATTAGCTCCACACCCGAACGAGACGCTAAATGTGGAATGAGACACAAACCAGGACAGCTGGGGCCTGGCCACCACGGCTGGCACCAGAAACGACCGCGCTAATAAATCCATAAGCCCTGGAAAGCGCCAGCGCCTGGGCGCGTCCTCAGGGCCAGGCCCTCGAGAGCTGAACGGGAGCTTTGGCTCCAGGGGGACAAACCTTTCCGAGGGAGATCCGCACCCCGGGACAAGTCCTTCCGTGGCAGATCCGCAAAGCTCCCGGCGCCCCAGGTCCCACCGTCCTGACTGCCGTACGGGGGACAACCCGACTTCCTCCTTGCGGCTGTTCCTCTTTCTGCAGCACTTCCGCAACCTTTAAAAATCAGTTTTGGTGCAGTGTGCTGTGGTCGGGAGCCACTGGTGGAGAGGAAGGGAGAAATGGGCAGTGGAGCTGCCGGAGCCACGACACTCCTGGGGAGCCCAGGAGAGGCCAGCAGGGCTAAGAGCATCCGTGGAGGCGGCTCCCTGCCGCTGCCCGGCCGGCTCCGGGTGCCCGGGATGAGCCCAGGCCTGCGGGCTGCAAGTGTTCCAGATGGGGAGTGCAAGCTGGGGAGTGATGATGCAAGTTCCAGATGGGGAACTGGGGGAGTGCGGGTGCCCTCGGGATACCAGGACACACGGGACACGGGGCAGGGCTCACAGCCGGCCTGGCCGCAGGGAACAGGCGCTCTGGGCAGTGCAGTAACGAGTCACCCGCCTGCCGAGGCCTCGCACGCGCTGCGAGCACGCGGGGAGCGGGCGG